TATTCAGCTACTAATTTCCACGCCCTTAAACCACAACAAATCGTTTACCAATTCGGGATATTAGCCATGGATGAGCTCTCTTGAAGCACTCCTTTCTCCACATTCTACCCCGAGAAAAACTGGGATCATAGCGAAGCGGGGTAGGATTATCCAGCCTAGAAGTCTGGGGCAAGCCAGAAGGGGGCGGAAAAGCTACAATCTGTTCGCTTGGCTCGCTACAGGGGCCCATCTTTGAACGTTTTTCAGGGACAATTGCCGGACCGCTGTTGGGCATGGCTGTGGGGATCACGCTAAGACCTCCGGAGCTGTCCCGACGACTCCTCCGGCGCCCGCAATTCGACCCAGTGACGAGGATGGAAACATATTTCTGGCATAATATTCTAGCCATAGACCTGCCATGAGGTCACTAGACAACATTCATATGTCTTTTTCCTTTTTCTTTCTCGTTCCAGACATGCTTGGGAGCAAACGCGGATTTTCTGGTGAAACCTAGGCCTGGGTATCTGTGCAGCTGTGTTTAAGTAACTGCGTGCCCTATTTCCTGGTATATGCCAAGATTCCAGACTACTCATCTGTATGAGAATAGTCATATGATTTTTTATATCTATACTCGAGGCTCTCATGGTGTCCCAAAGCTAGTCGGGTTGATGTTTACCGGGTCTTGCAGTTCGGGCGGGAAGGTATCTTATAGTATGAGGCATAATTCTTCACACACCATGATTTGGGAAGATCTCGGGTCATTATAATTCCTCTTGAATTGGCCCTCATCTTGGATCCAGGTTTTTTGTACGTTTGCTCTTATCACTACGATTCGCAAACCTGGGGGTGGTCGAAACATGAAATATAACCGGGTACATACAGTGGGATACGATTACGCCAGGAGTCGACGTATTCCAAAGTTACTTATGCCACGTTAGTTGGTATCTTTTTTTGTAGGGTATTCTAGCAGGAGTCTCAAATATACTTATTTTGAGTTCGCGGAATTAATAGCTAGCACTCTAGTAAAGAGAAATACCAGAATTGATACTTGGAGTGTCTCATCATGTCCCCAAGTAATAAATACCACTATTCTTAACAATATTACTATTCTCGTCAATTCACAGTACTGTTGTTCAATAAGTTCTTGCGCTGGGTTGTATCAGATTCCATCTTGATGTGAGTGATATATCGTGATTGAAACCTATCGCGTGTATTGGGGACACGAGATCCCTCAAACCTCGCCACGTAAAGACATTACGAACCGTTGATCACATGACGGCGCCAATCCTACTGTACTGAGGAAAAGCAGCCAATATCCTGATCTACCAGTCTAGTCAATGTGCAAGATGACCTTTGGACCGCTTTATGGGTGTGTGGTTCACTGATCCTTTCTATGTTCAGGTCTGGTATACCATTCACATGATAGTTTCTTCGGCTGTAAAGTCTATCGGAGGAGCCTAGCTTGAGCAACCAAACCTGTCCTGGACCTCACAATATTCCTAGTAACGAATCCATCGCCATCCCACTATAGATAGCTAATGTAGATCATTCTCCCATTCTGAGGCACACGCAGCCTCTTCGGGATCAATAAGTTGATATTAGGCTGATGATCTATGGAGAAATATCTAGGTAGGCTTTTAGTCATATTTGGCACGTAGGCAAAGTAGGCGCTGCGCCATTGAAGAAAACGGCTCAGGCCACTTTATATTGTGGTTTGTCAACTTTATTCTTTGTGTATAGGTGGATCCGGGGTGAAATTGTACGCACATATGCGTATATCTTATTCATGAATTGAATGCCAAAGGATGAGAACGCCCATCCACCATAAGCCATCGAGCTTATCCTCCTTCAACCCCAATTTTCATCGTTCCAGAGAAAAATCGTAAATGTCTGTCTCCTCTATTTAATCAACTCGTACTGGTACTCGAGTAGGATTCCTATGCACATAGGATCCCGAGAGTGCGGCCCAACTGAAGTTGTTTGAGAACCCAGTGATTATGTACAGTTATCTAATCATTTTAAGCCGTTTAGATGTCCTTTACTACATGTAGTATTCATATAAATACGCACCTAGTACATGTAATACATGCAATACTTAAATTTACATGACTTGAAAGTACAAGTACGTGAACAGTACCTGTATCATGGTACATAATGCAACTTTAGCTGGCCAATATACATACATGTATCTCTTGGAACAAGGATTCTCCTGCCGATATTGGGAAAGTTAATGGATGCATTCGTTCTCATTACATAGCACCGTGCACATCTTTATAAGCATACAAGCGGAGTGCGGCCTCCGGCCGCCCAAATGTAGTGAGGAAATGAAGGTGCGGGCGGTATTGCGATAGTAATTTCTTAGATTATTGCTGCCATTCTGGATTATTGGGTAATCCAAACGTACAGGCACACGCACGCACTAAACCTCATCTTCATCTCTCCTTATAGGTAATCTGCGATTTATTAGCTCTAGTATGCACTCTAAGTCATTCAATGAGTACATGTAGCTTTAGTATGTACATGTAGTTCATGATAAAATGCTATCAGGGAAGTTCGACCTTGATATATAAAAATATAGCTGTAGTTCTGTCAGTGTTTGTTCTTTTATATCAATCAATTGCAATAGCTACACGCCTTTTAATGCCAGTTCCCTTCCATCTCGGGAGTAGTTCTTTGTCTACTTGTGTAATGATATGCAACCAATATTAGAAATAGCTATAGTACGCAACCAATAGAAAACGTTCTTGGTGACGATGAGGAAGACTATATAGTTTAGAAAGTAAAATCTGTCGGTACACTCCAGGCTTCCTGCAGGACCCTAACGAAAAGGATTAAACAAACAAAAAAAAAAAACCCTAACGAAAAGGAATCCATTATGTAAGGCACGAGTGAGATATCGCGATTACAATCACGTGGAGAATCAAGACCACTCGTGAAAGCCATTTTCCCTATGCAACTTAAGGATCTTCCCCATTCAACGTCCCCTGAGCTCCTCTGCCACAAAAAAAAGATATCATAGCTGAGAAGATCTGATTCTGGGTTTTCAGTGATAGACTAACCTTATATAGTTAGACGCCAAACCACATACAACATAGAGTCTAGGTTTCTCCGACCGTAATGAAAGCATTTGAGCTACAAGTAATTGAAAATACACTTTTAGTAATCAATTAGTACGTAGGTCTACGTACGTAATATAGAGTAAGTAGGGACTTCCACTCAAGCTTGAGCTATATTAAATCAATAAGTTACCAAAATATTTGTTTACAATTTATCCGTTGTGGTGTAATGGTTAGCATCAGTCGCTCTCACCGACTAGATCGGGGTTCAATTCCCCGCAACGGAATATTTCATACCTTTTTGCTTGTCAAGTCTGTGGTAGACAAAATGAAGATAATGATAGCCAACCCTAACCCAACCAACTGCCTATAACAAGGATCGAAGATATATATAGTAAATGCCGACATTAAGGCTTTATTTATTGCTTATGGACCAGGTCAGATACGCCTAAATGATATCTTTCACAGTCGTCGATCGATAGCTTTTTTGGGCGCTCAGCTTATTTAATATCGTGTGAGTCAAATCATGGCAGTCTCCACTCCTAGTGGTACCTTTTGCATTATCATAGATACGTTACATATACTCTACAGTCATATACCTAGGCTCCCTACGAGATGATGCTCCGCACCCGAACCTTCCTCCGTACAATGTCTTCCTTCAAAGGAGGAGTTGATTCCCAAGGCTATTCGTTCCCCACAACCACAGACATCACCACCTCCCCATTTTATAAACTGGCATCAGGCCGCACACGTCCGATCCTGCCGAGCTTTGAAAACTCCGCCGAGGAAAGTATATACAGGAAAGAGCACCTGGCAGCCGTTTTTAGAGTTCTGGGCAAACATGGACATGGGGAAGGGATTGCAGGGCATTGCAGCGTGAGGGACGCTGTGAAGCCAGATTGTTTTTGGTAGGTAGATAGTGACATCTTGGGTGCTGCCATTATGCTAGTTATTCTTTGCGGAAAATTGATGAGATGATATAAGGGTAAACCCATGGACCAAATCGTTTTCACGTATGAAAGCTTCGGACTTGGTGCTTGTTAATCATGCGGGTGAAGTTGTGGAGGGAGATAGTGCTGTGTGAGTTTATACCGCGTTTGAATGAGTTTTTTGAGCCAAAAACATACTTATTAAACTATGCTTTAACCTTAGAGATGCGTCTGCGACGTCGCTTCATTCAGCTTTGCACGAAGCAAATCCCTCACTCATAGGGATAGTGCACGTCCATGGCCCATACTCCAAAGCTTTCAGCGCTCTTGGCCGTCAGCTTGACATGATAAATCAGGACAGCTGCGTCTTCCATAACTCTCATGTCCTTGTTCCCTTTGGCGGGTTGATCCAAGGCCGAGATGAGGGTGTTCGGATTTCCAAGCTCCTTGGCGGTGAGAGTGAGGGACTGAAGAAGATTGCGGTTTTGGAGAATCACGGGGCATTGGCCTTTGGCCAATCAAGCATCGATGAGGCAGCCTGGTGGTTTTTGAATTTTGAAATGTGCTGTCGGGCACAGCTGCTTTTTGATAGCGCGGTGGGGAGGAACCAAACAGGGAAGATACCAGAAGAGTCGAGGGTCAAGATTATCGGAGGTACAGAGAGAGAGTTTACGAAGCTTGAGATGGGATCGCCGGAAATGGGATGGTTGAATTTTTCGCCATATTATGAGGACCTTGAATGGGAGACTAAGGGCGATTTCAAAAATTGATTATCTATTGTAATCTATGACCTAGAAATAATATCTGCGTTATGGATACATAACTAGTACCAAACCATGATTATATGGAACATACATAGCCTGCTATACCATGCTTGACCTAAATCAATTAAGAAAAAAAATGTCTACCATATTTACACGTACAGTTGGACCAGATTGGACATGAGTTTTGACTAATACAACTTTCCTCGAAAAACATGCAATCAATAAATAATCAACCTGGACGCCATACCCTGCCTGTTCTCAGAGCCTTGGGTTTAATCAAGGCACTGGCACGTTCCATCCGAGTCATTCTCTCCTCTCCTTTTGTCGAGCGAAGGGCATGTAACCGCCAATTTAGGGTCAGAACAATGAAAGAGGGTCATCCAACTTCTCTCCAAAGTATGCCCAAAAAACGGGTTGTCGGGTTTATCAACGAAACTATCGGCCTTCGAGTCTGCATGGATCCAATGCTCCTCATCACTTTCCAAAATCCCCTTAATATGCTCATAGACTTGCTTCCGAGAAGATCGCATACGGCTCGCTGAAACGATCATCTGCCCGCCATATGATATCAGAATTCCAGAATTAGGACACAGTTCGCCATGAACTGCAGACCAAACTTCAGGAACTCGAAACCAGATATCCTCGCCGCCCCATGAATCTTTACAGTTGTTGCATTCACAAGTACTTTGACCAAAACCAAGGGATAGTACTCCAGTTTTTGGAACAAAATAATCGGAAATCCGGTCTGTGAGCTTCTGGAATTTGTGCATGTCGCCTTGGAGAAACATCGTATGCGCCGCAAAATTATCCCATTCGTTCACAATGTGATGGAGGTATGTTCCACCCTCGCGGCCCCTGTTTGGAATAATCTTTACGACATCTGCTCCAACAGTCTTTTTAATGGACTCCGCATCTGCCTCCTGATCCTTGACATAAATAATGACTTTAGGTTCGAGGCCTTTGAGCGATGTGAGGCCTTTGAGTTCTCTGAGCTGTTCTGCCATTTTTATTTGGTCCTCCTTATACATGCTGATGACAATATCGAATTTGTTTTTTGGTGTTGGCATAGTGCTGGAGCCTTTATTATTCGTATAAGCGGGCATTGAACCGTGGACTGTCTTGTCGGCTCCAATTATGTCGACTTCACTTGTAGAGCCGGACGCCCCGCTATACAGCCTCCCAACCATCAACAACACAAATGCAACGCCTACACCAGCGAAGGTCTTCCGTGACGCCGAGCTCCTGGAGCTCATCCCACGCAGCTGCGCAAAGTGCTCACGGATCTTTTCCCCTCCTAATTTGAAGTACACGAGGCCGCTCAAAGCAATGCTGTAACCGAACAATTGTATGGCTGTGACTGGGGTTCCCCAAATAAGAACAGAGGCACATACGAGAAGAATGTCTTTCAGGACACCGCAGAGTGTGAGCACAAGAGATGAGGTTTTCCCGATCTAATCCTAATTAGCACGTAAAAAAGCGAAAGCTAGGGGCGGGTTTTACCAAAAACACTACAGAGACGTTCAAACAGAATGCGACCAAGGCGTTAAAGAAGAACATTATTAAGCCAACACGGGCGAGATCGGACATAGCCAGCGTGGAGCTCTCGAAGATCAGAAACATCAAGAAATTCATGAAGGCGCAAACGGGTGCGAAGTAGTATAATGATACTAGGGGATCCATCTTGTATTCCGCCGAGGATAGCAGACGTTCAACCATCACAAGCCTGACGGCTTCGAAGGCGATACCAAAAACTTGGTAAACAACACCAGTAGGGACGAAGAGGATCTCTCCGTATGAGGCAATCATAATACCAATGACAATGAACGAGACATTCCGTAGGGTCTTGAGATTTGGCCTTTCTACTGCTAAACTCCAACTAGTGAGAAGAACTGCGACGGGGGTTGTTGCCTAGTTTTTGTTTAGCTTAATTCGCACTACAAAGTTGTAGATAAAGTCTAGGCTGGCTACCTTTAACATCTGAATGAATGATACGCTTAGGTAAAGATACGCCTTGTTACTACAGATCAGACTTAAGCTGAAAAATAATCCGATTGGGACGATGGCCCTGAGGTAGACTTTGCCAGTCATCTTAACCGTTTTGCGCCCATCAAGAAGAGTGCTTGTCCTCGCCAGGATTTGCGTTGCGATTGACGAGAATAACAGATGCCATGTCGTAAGAAAAATAGCTATTTTTGGCCAGTCAGTTTACACGCGATTAGATGGTTGGAGTTAAGACGGGGGGGCGCACGAAATCCTAAAAATCGCTTTTAGTTAATAACGATTACCTCAAGTAGTACTGAAGAGCTGGATGATCTTACGGAAATTGGTGGTTTTTGGATCTAGGATCCATTTATTGAATAGAATGACAGCCGAACTCAAAGAGATCCATACACTGTCACAAGTCACGATGTCAGGAGCTGTTATATTTGCTACAGGCCTTGCTAGGTAAACTCACATTACATAGACAGCCGAAGGAATTTTACTACGAGGTGTCGCTACAGGCACGTCAAGATTTGTCGTGGGCAGCTCGGTTGCTCTATCGTCGTCGTCGTTGGCGCCCATGGTGATCAGGGCGTGATCAGGGCACTAGATCTAGACGGTTGGATGAATAAATGGATAAATGAATAAAATGTCTTTCGAAAACAAAAGTGGCAGATTAGAGATTAGAGACAGGTTCTTGGGCCCTCGGAACAAGATAGGCAAGATGCAAACGAGTGAATGGTAGAAGAGAAAGAGCACTCCTGAAAGGAGAAGGGGAAGAAAAGGGATGGAAAGAGAATTCCAGCTCTAAAGGCAAAAGTGGGATGTGGGTAAGCAGGACATTCTGGTACGTTGCAGGAAGCCACCCAAGTCCACTCCTTTATCTTTGAGTGTATCTAATGCACAATCCCATCAGACTCTGGTTTCAAACGCGGGACAGGCTCCGACATTTGAGCTGTTATTTAATTTTGCCGATCAGCTGTGTGTCAACACCTCTCAAAAGCTTATGTAAAATTACGCGGTTTCACCAGGAAAGAACCATGCCGATTCCCTTCTTGGCATGTCGATCAGGATCAATCTGGATGAAGAACATCGAACCTGAGATCAACATAGCTTTATCAGCAGTAGAGTACTACATGTACCATCAAAGCCTCTCGTAAAGTTCGTGGTCAGTGATGAACACGTGTTGCTGTAGGTATATTTTGCCAAGAGAAAGGACGATTCTGTAATTTTCTATATACGTAATCCAGACCTTAACTTCTCTTTATATATGAAGATAAAACAAGCAAACAAGGCCTCCTGGGATTCTTTTTTTTTTTTTTTTTTTTTTTTTTTTTTGACCCTTTAACCACCATCCAGCCGGATATCGAATCGTGGGTACATGTATTGAGTTACCGACTTTTCGAATGAGAGGATGCCGCCATAAGCGAAATGCTAAAGGTTTATCGCTTGTGCAATCCATTATAGGAAAACAAATTCTGGTTGTTGTACTTCGTACGCTCCTAGAAGAAAGAGCATTGTTGTTATTGAGTGGTTAATCGAGTGACAAGCTGTGATTGTGTCAGCGCGCATTCCATCCGCTGTGAGAACGTTGCGAAAGAAGTTCTTTCACAGATCTTATATGTGATCGGTTGCGTATAAAATGGGAGCTACAAGCTGAGCAAACTTCATCAACCCCTCCCCAATTAAAAGATCCTAGCATGATTGAAGGTGTGCAACCCGGCGCGGCATCTTCGCCGACCTCATTTTCATGGGTATGTATTTTAATTCCCGAGATGTGAAGTCCCCGGTAAGAGCTGTCTTCTAGAAGCCTAGTCTAAGCGAGCCTCATGCACAAAGGCCTGCATACATAAAGATCTTAAAATAATATGTAATTCTCTTGTCGTCGCATATGCGAGAAAGGCGAGGTGTTGTACCAACACCATGGAGTACTACGTATGATGGATGGTGTGGCCAGTTCAGTCAATTAGGTTTTGCATTCTACTACCTACATAATACAAGCACACCAAATACTCTACAAGTTTCCCAGCAACAAGAATAGGGTAGAATCTGCCCGATATCACGAATGCCGAAACGACAGCCATGTTTTGAAGGCTACTTTTAATTTTTGAGGTTCCTTGGTATACAGAACTAGCCTGGTTACTAAAGATGGGAGACGCTCAAGGAGTAGCGAGAAGAAGTATGTAGTTTGATAAACTGCCAGGTGCTATGTAGCTTGTCTGCCTGTATCGTCCTTAGTACTCGGGGTAGACAAAAAGTACCGGGAAATTATTATAGAGTTTTGTCTCTGGTTTTTTTTGGTATAGTTCATGCCTAGCGCGCGCTCATTGGCACTGGACCAGAAGAAACCTGTAGTGTCCGGTATATACTACATGTACTTACCTACCCTGAGTATGTACTTCATGTACTTTTATACCTACAAGGTTTTTCAGATGAAGCTTTTGTATTCCAAGCTACTTGATTAGTGTTATGAGCTTAAAGTATGCACAGCGGGCCGCCGGGGGCTTGGTGTCTTGGTTGCGGGAGCTAACAACTAAATCCTAGTGTAGTCAAGCTTGCGGCGAGGTGTGTTCACAACTGGTGGTCTTTGGGGATAGCCTCAGTTATGAAGTTAAGTTAGACTTTCGTCAAGATTCATCTCCACTCCTCAAACTACCGATAAAAAAATTCCGCAATATAACGAGTACTTTTTTGTATTTAGATTGAATGACAACAAATAAGAAAGATAGCACATGCGCAGTCCATGGATCCCCACGATTCTCCTTGTTTACCTCAGCAGCAGTGCGCCATGGATATGTGATCATTGCAAGGCTGCCATGTTCTAGCAAATCCCGGTTAGAAAAGCCAGCCCTACCAACTTACACAATTGCAAGGGATTAGATCATTTCAATCTTTGGGTTGTACGTACACTATGCACAGCCCCATCTAAACTCTAGACCGTACGCTTCTGACTGACGCAATCCGGAAGATTTGAGTGGCGAAGACGTGTCTAATCATCTGAAAACACTCATCACATGCCATCGACTAGCTAAGATTAGAGATGGATGTTTCTCGACGGGGATTCTTGTTTCTCCCTCGCGAAATTTCTTTTATTTGGCGTGCACGCTTTGCTTTGATTTGGCTGGATCCCCCGGGCCCCGGCCCTGAGAAGCATGGAATGAGTAGTTCGATTGGTCACACATCAAAAGTCAACACTAGGGTAGTCTATTTCCACGCCTTTTCGCTTCTTCTATCACAGTAATACGGAAGCGTAAAATTATATTTGGTATTTAATATTTGTGCTGGATTCCTCACGGTGGTGATGGTGGTGATAGGACTTCAAGAGCTTCCTGCTTCCGGCGCTTTGATCTTGAGAATATACTTTCCCATATTTCGCTAGAGCGCGCCTTCTTGTGCACGCGCAGCAAACCGTCTCATTCCATATGAGAATCTGTACTATCTGGATGTTCATGACTTTGAGGACTGATAGTAAAGTAACAAAAGCTACTGTCCTATCGCGAGTTCAAGACCCCAGTATTAACAATATCTATGATAATCCTCTAGGTAATATAATTTGGACCGATATGCACTTTAGACTTAGACGTATGGAGCGTACGTGATTTTCATGTTTATAGAAGCGATGCCTCCTCGTTCACCGGTCCAGCTTTTGGCTTAGTTTCTTAAATGGATACCATTTTTTGAGGATTATTTGCTGGATTTATTGTGACTTGGAAAGATGAAGATCTTAGTAGTTACTTTTCAAAGATAATAAGACACACGATAGACCTCGGAGTTCGTCTTTCCCCACATCGAGGGAGAGCGAGCTGGGATTTCTCGGATACCTAACCCTTGTGACGATATTATCGAGTGATCGCTGATGATTCACATCCACTGGGACATTTTGGGCATTATTGCACAGTATGGCGCTGAATAACCAAGATTCTTAGTACCTTCCGCCAACCATATAACGGACATAAAACATACTCATCCGTAGATCTCTTTCATAACCTCCCAACCAACCTCTTTACCAGTGTCATTGACTCTAGGTAGCACTCGGCTCTGCACAGGGTTCTGGCCGGTTCGATCTCGAGATAATATATCGAGACCACAACAATCAACGCGTGGAGCTATAATATCACGGACTAATGGATGTCACGGTTCTCCGATCTTGCTTCATGAACCAAATCCACAGAGTTGTCCTCGGGTTTCGGTTCGTGTTCTTAGCTTTCTGTGTAGAGTAGGCGAATTTCTTCACTTTAGATTTTCAGAGAGAAGTAGATAAGATACGTCGGATTTCTCGCCGTCTATACTGATAGTATGAGGTACTCCATGATGCCTTCCGGAAGTAAGCCGAACACTTGCAGGAGCCCTCGATTGCAGAGGAACCTTGGAAGCCAACAGGTGGTTCTATTAGGCCTAGCCATACAATGAAGATCTGCTGCGCCGGAGATCCCGAGATTGCCGTGAAATTGTGTAATGGTCATGTCTGTGACATTCGACAGACATCCAACCTGTAATTAACAGGATTCGAGGAGTTAAGTTCATCAAGGTGCATGGGTGCCTGGCTGCAAGGCACTAATATCAGAATATGCGCTTGCGTTTCCGGCTAGGACCTATACATAGATACATATAGGTACATGTAGACAGGGCTCCACGAGTTGAGTTCAGATTGGATGGATATCACCATGATACCAAAACTCGCACCTTCCCACAGCCCTGCCATCACAGCAAACACCACTAGCAACCGCTGAATCATGGCCGAGTCTTCCAAGTGCGCGTCGTACTCCCAATCTAAACTCATCTCCACGGGGATGCTTGAAGCCCGTACAGCTAAGAATCACTAGAACCTGTTTTTCGCTCTTGAGCGAGCGGCACTCTCGGATGCTGTGCGGTTATCTGCCCGGCCGCGTCGATCATGGATCGGACCGTTATATGGACCCGACTGCGGGGTATCTTTAATCTTAGCTGCGCTAGGTTTGAAGGAATGTCGGGCTCATCCGGATGGATCCAGAGCTGTCATCTCAGCTCGTGTGTAGGACGAGACCGGCTGCGTGGTTTGGTTGAGGAGTGCCGCAAAGCAGCGTATGTCAAGTATCTATGTTTCCGGGTTGCGGCCGAGCTACTACATGTACCTACTCCTGCTAGTAGTACTGGCAGTTTCTTACAGCAGGTGCTCACCAGCCTTACATCTCCACCTCCGCCGCCCCGCTCCGCCGCTCCACCGGGCGACTGTGTTCAAGCTGGATCGAGATCAATCATTCGATTCGCGTACGTAGCAGAACCAGCCCTATCCTTGTGGCAGACGTAAGTAGAATTGTCTAAAAACCCGGGTAGGAAGGTAGGAGATTCCTGCGGGGTATATGCCTACGGAGGGTTGGGATTGGAATGGTGATGGCGATGGGCAGCTAGTTGGGCTGGTTGGGTGTTGACTCTCTGTATCCCGGCCGTTTCGTTCTCAATTATTAAGGCCCGCGTGAGGTGATACTGGATCCTGGCCGGGACGGGCGCGCGGGGCGGCGGGTGATCTGTGCGCTGGGCGTGAGGGCGTTTAGTGAGCTACTACTGCACGTACAGCGTCATCTACTGAAAACGGGGGCGCGGGTGAAGTTGTGAGCAGCGAGAGAGAGAAAGAGTATGTAGAGTAGTAGGACATAGAGTGGGGTGGTGGAGTAGGTAAGAACTTTAGAGTGTACCTGCATTAGCTAGATGATAGATAGATCGCATCACCCAAAGCGGGCCATCTACTAATTCTCGGCTGCACTAACACCACTAGCGCGTACACCTGCAACACCACACCAGGCCCCCGAAACCACCCCTGTTTCCAATAAAACCTCCGCTGCCTGCCCATCACCAACGTTTCCCAGCTCCAAGCAAGAGCTTCTACTCGAGACTCTCTACCTCGGACGACGAACAACGGCCTTTTGAAACAGGCCCAGCCTTTTCTTAATCTCGCCATGGGGGAGGGTCAACCGTTCGTCCAGCAAGTACAGATGTTTCAAGCCAATGGGGCCCGGTTTGTTTAATCACTCTGCAAAGAACCTTCTCACGCATCCCTCCGTTCCCACTCGTCATCACCAAGCGGGGGGGAAGGTGATCCTGGGTGGCCGGTTGTCCTGCTCGGATATTTGATTTTCGATCCTCACTCAGCTCAGGCCTGGGAAACATATCGTAGTAGCGTAGAGCTGAGTAGGAGTAGAGCATCTTGTAGTTTGGTAGATATTAATGTAGCTTATGTAGCTAGCAATTCACTTGCATATATAGCCACCCGTCCAATCCTCCCCCCATCTCCTCAGCTCGCCATCTCGCCGCCCCAAACACTTTTGTGAAGTTGTTCACTACTACCTTCGTTTTTTTCTCCCTTCCTTTCTTTCTTTTCGGCGCGAGTAGCCGGTCGCGTTCAAGCGGTTTGATACTGGCTGTACTTTCTTTTCTTTGCATACCCTTACCTTCCTTTGGCCCCGGAGGTCTAGCTAGCCTGTGTTCGTACACCCGTTTTTGAGATTTTATAGAGACAAGATGAGATTCATTGTTGCTGCCGTGTTTGCGCTCAATGTTGCTGCTGCTGTGGATGCGAGGGCTGGTATGTATCATTGTTATATATCCCCTAGCTTTAACTTTTGCCTTCATAATCTACTAGCTGGTACGAGTATATATATATATCAAATGCTAAACATTACACAATATAGTCGGCTTCGGCGACATCAAGCGTCTTGCCCGCAGACTTGCAGTCCGGCAAGCCCAACCACCTCCCAGCGACGCCTCCGGATTCCCGACTTTGGCCCCTTCGGGTACTATGGTATATTGAACACCCCCCCCCCCCCCCCCACCTGTCATATATACTCGGGGGAAACAGTATTAACAAGCCAAACAGGGAATCGTACCCGGTGGCCCGCTGGACTTGATCAATGGAACCGGTACCGGCCTTCCACACGGCACTGGAACCGGCAGCCCGCCGCCTTTGGGCCCTCCGGTTCGTAGTCCCCTGTCTATATAGAGTGTTATAAGAGACCGTAGTATAGGCTGACAATAAAACCTAAACTACAGGTCACGGAAGTCACCATCACCGTCACGGCATCAACACCTATTGTCACAGAGACAGACTACCCTGGTGACGAGACGACCTCAACGCTGGACCCGATAGTCACCGGAACGCTGCTCGATAATGTCTCGGGCTCCTCGTCGACCCGCACAGTCACAAAGACCGTTCCGCTAGTCAGCGATGGCATCACGCTCACACGCTCTGCGAACGCATCTTCTACTAGCCACCTTATTGATGCGACATACATGACGAGCTCAGATCTCCCTCTGCCTACCTCTCTGGTCGGACTGAACCCTCCACGGCCTGGGCTCACGACGACAATCGTTATCTCGAACGGCACCACGCTTACCCGAACACTGTTGAACCCGGTTGCGACTACCATTGTCTCCGATGGCAGCACGGTTATCAGTACGCTTGAGCCAGCTGTGACGACCATCGTCCAAGACGGTTCAACAGAGGTCCGTACCCTGACTGGTGCACTGGAAACGACCGTTGTCGTGCCGGGAGAGACTATTATTAGCACCTTGGAGCCTGTTGTAACTACTATCATCTCCGACGGGAGTTTTGTAACGAGCACGATCCTGGATACCATCGAGACGACGATTGTGCAGGATGGGAGCACGCTTGTACAGACCCTACAGCCGGTGGTGACTACGATTGTGCAGGACGGGACAACGATTGTTAGCACAGCCCTGAATGCGGTCGAGACGACAGTCGTTGTCCCAGGGGAGACAATTATTAGTACCCTGCAGCCCGGTGTGACCACCATCATTGAGGGTGGGAGCACGGCGACAAGCACGGTGCTGAGTGCGGTTGAGACGACAATTGTAAGGGACGGCAGCACGTCGGTAGTTACGATGGAACCTGGCGTGACTACCATCATCTCTGAAGGCGCAACTGTGACCAGGACCTTGACGGATGTAGAGGAGACGACGGTGGTGGTGCCCGGTGAGACAGTCGTTAGTACTTTGGAGCCTGGAGTAACTACTATTGTCTCCGAGGGAGCCACCGTTACAAGGACATTGACAGAAGCGATTGAGACGACTGTTGTATCACCTGGTGAGACAATTGTGAGCACTCTTGAACCAGGTGTATCCACGATCATTTCCAACGGCACAACGGTGACGAGGACAATCACCAACGCAGTAGAGACCACTATCGTATCTGCGGGCAACACAATTGTTAGCACGCTTGAGCCGGGCGTCTCAACCATCATCTCGAATGGAACTACTGTCACCAGGACGCTGACAGCGGCGCTTGAGACAACAATCGTGGTTCCGGGTAACACGATCGTTTCCACTCTCCAGCCAGGCGTCTCAACTATCATTACCAACGGGACAACAGTAACAAGGACCATTACCGGTGCACTAGAGACTACTGTCGTTCTACCTGGGAGTACTCTTGTCAACACTCTGCGGCCCGGTGTCCCGACAGTCATTACCAACGGTACCACTGTCACCAGGACTCTGACAAACAATCCTCTCGAGACAACCATCATCGTCCCCAGCGAGACTCTGGTCAGCACTCTTGAGCCAGCTGTCACTACCATCATCTCGAACGGCACAACCCTAACAAGAACAGTATCGAGGGCCGTCTCAGCCAGCACCTCCGAGGCCGCAACAGTAGTCACAACCCTCCTTCCAGTCGTTACAGTTATTGTCTCGGAAGGCAACACAGCGACGACAACTCTCGCAGCGGTCGTCACAACCATCAGCGAAGCCACCAGCACCGTGACTGGCTCCCCACTCGATGAGACAACCTCTGGATCGCTCGTCACCAAGACAATCACTAGTACCGTTGGTGGTATTGAGACAGTTATTACGACCATCAGCCGTAGAATCGATGCGACTTATTTCACGTCTTCTGCAGCGCCGGAATCAACGGGTTCGTTCCTGCCTGTGCCATCTATGCCTGCTGCGGGGCCGCCATATGGAAACTCGACGCTGGTGGTGCCGCCTTTTGGGAACTCGACCGTTGGTCTGGGGGTTACGGCAACGCATACCGTTACTGCAACGGCGATCACGGTGACGGGGGAGCCTGTTACTGTGACAGTTGGCGTGAGTGCTGGTGAGACTTTGTTGCCGGTTACGAACACGGAGACGTCAACGATGGAGGTTACAGTTACTGCTACTGCTGTGGTGAGTTGAGATAACAAACTCCTAGAAATAGAGAGATTGAAGCTAATATATCGTGATATAGACAATTACCCCAGAGCCAGTAACAGTCACTGTCGGAATTTCCGCCGGTTCAACGCTCCTCCCGGTGACAAACACAGTCCAGGTCACCGTGACTGCCCCCAACGCAACGTTGTCACAAACCACTCATACCGCAACTGAGACTGTAACTCCCGAGCCAGTTACTATCACTGTCGGCGTGTCCGCGGGAGAGACTATCCCCCCAGTGACAAACACCGTACAAGTAACCGTGACAGCATCCGGAAATGCGACAGTACCGCAGGTCACCAGCACCGCTACTGTCGAAGTTACCGTCACAGCCACAGCTACTGAGGGCGTTACTGGAACTCTGGAGCCAGTCACTGTGACTGTTGGCGGTGGAGCTTCTGGCAGTGCTGCTGTGACTAGCACTGAGACAGCGACAGTCCAGCTCACCGTTACATCTGCGGTCGTAAGTTCTCCTGGTTGATATTTCTGGTGGGGTGAATGGTGCTAATTGATTGTGAATAGACTGTCGTCCCAACACCAAGTACGGTGACGAGCTTGGCCCCGATAACGAGGTACACTACAGTTACGGTCACTCCACCGGCTGTTACAGTGACTGTCGAAGCGCCTGGCACGACCGCTGGTAGTGGCGGCGCCGGTGGTGCAGTCACAGTTACGGAGACGGAGAGTGTGACGGTGTCGAGGATTGCGACTGTCACAGTAACTAAGGCAGGAGCGGTTTGCACGTCTGCTTAGAAGTAGGGCGTGGTGTGATTTATTTATTTTTTTAGTTAGCTTTTTCATTGGGATTTCTTTTTGGGATGATCAAGGGATCAATGAACTCACTGTCGCTACTGCTGGCCGGGGGCGAGAGGGATTGGAGTACTTTTTGTTGTTTCATTTTGGATGTAGATATGTTCATGATTGTATATTTTCTATCCCTAGACTGAGGATAGAGTTTCAATGAGAGATGATTTTCTGAGTTGAGTCATGGGACCTTTTATACAATAGCCGTCCTGTATCTTGTTCTTCTTTGGAGTAAGGTTTCCTGCCCAAATACCGATACCATGATTGAATTTCGAGGCCCGCTTTTGTTGGCTGATATGGCCGAATTTGAAACTCAAGCCCGGTAAGTCATATAGTCATTTGGTACCGGCGGTAGTAGGTATGAGGGAGCTAACTCGGGATCTGTGGTTCTCTAGAATAGTGGTGTTTTGGTCAACCGGATCCATCACATTTTCCAGGAATGCCGTTCGTTTCCTAACGAACTCTAGTCCCGAAGGGTCCATAGCGGATATATCGCGCTAAGCACGAGGGCACAAGCGAAGAGTTCGCCCGCTATCTCGGGAAATAAGAAGCATCCAACATGCAATCTGGAAATCCGCTGCAGCCTCAATTTCCGGTTGTGTGGTTCGTTGATAGAGTCCTGGATAGAGAAGAGTCCCAGCTCTCTATGTACCCCACCATAACGCCTGTGATCCAATTAGATGTAGGACTGAAAGCCAAGGTTTTTTTCCTTTTTTTTCCGAGCTCTCTAATTTGCCTGCATGGATAGGCCCATGTCACTTTTAAGGGTTGGTTTTGGAAGCAGTCATAGCTCCCGCCGGACAACCTGCAGCACAGACTCATCTTGAATTTCAATTGTAGCTTTCCACATGCAACCTAAACAAGAAGCAGCGGCTGGTGTACCCAGTGAAACATGCTCCTGCACCACAAAAGATTCTTTTTATGGACTGCTGCCCCCCCAAAAGAGAAAGTTTGGTAATTTAAAAAGACCATGGGTGGTCCCAAAAGAAACAAAGCTACCCACAAAAAGACCCAGTGCGTGCACGAGCATGTTTTACAGAATCCACCAGCCGCCGCTTCTCGTTTATTAGGTGCATGCTGGAAAGCTAAAACTAGAATTAGAATACCACAATAGCTATTTTTTTTGTGACGGCATGTGTGTCGTCGACCCCTCCGCCTACTTTGCCTATTCTCCCTTCCTTCGAACATACACAGTGGTGGTATTCGAGGAGAAGTTCCAAGCAGCAGAAGAAGAAGAGTAGACCACTTCGTCAAGACGGTCCCTTTGGGATTTTTAATCTCATTCGTCTGTTTGTTTTCTTTCCTTGCAACTCATACCTCGCTGCTGCTGGTCCATCCGGGGGCCTCTGCCCGTCCGCTCCGTTTCGTTTTTTTTGTTTCATCCCTACACACTCTTTTTTTTTGCATATTCACTTCTTGGGGATCCAAATGGAGCATTACAGGTCGACTTCAACGCCTCCCCGCTTCTCCGCATCATCGTCAGCTTCCCGCCGGATGTCCGGTTTCTCAGGAGGAGGAGGGCAGATATCCAGCCCATCACGGCTCTCTTCTGCCCACGGTGGCCGGCGTTCTACACGGGGAGACTGGAGTAGAGACTCCCATCTTCACTTCCAACCGCCGCACCCGACTCCTAGATACCAGCGTGACACCATCGCCTCCCTCGCAAAGCAGTCACCTAGAAAGCTCTCTCCTAGCATTGAGGAACGGATTAGAGTCCTGGAGGCGGAGATCGCTATCCTAAAGAACCAGAGAGGATTTCTGGCAACGATGATCAGGCAGGAAAAGCATGCGGATCGGCACAGTCTGACAACGGATGAAATTGCAGCAGCCGCAGAGAGGTTAGGAGTATTTGAGAAATTGGAGGAGGTGGCAGCGCCGGGCGGTGATCCAGAGAAGAGTTTTTAGGGTGCTGTTGTTTGCTGTCCTTTCGTTGTTGCTGTATGAGAAAAGTTAATTCCTGTTTCGAGTTGCCAAAGCAGCCATTGTTACGCAAACGGAAACGATGTGTGGTGTGTGGGGAATTTGGAAACGGCGGAAAAAGAAAAACCTAAAGTGTTTTTTGTTGGAAATTGGGGATAATGTTAATGTATTCTCCAGGATGGGATATATGATACTTCTTTTCTTTCTTTCTTCCTTCTCTTTCAAGGGGAGAGCAATCGGAATAAGAGTTAACTAATATCGGAGAACTACGGGGATTTCTTTTTGGGGGGGAGCTTTACAGATATCGGTTTCTTTATCAGCATGTTGGGGTTTGCGTAACCGGGTAACCAAGCGATATGTACGAGCGGGTACAGTGCCAGGGTGTTAATATTTTAGACCCCGGTACTAGGTGGTCTACCCGCTGTTGGCGTTGCCGTGGTTACTTACGCGGGTTATCAACAAACTCCTGGGACTTTGCTAGGCTATCCAACGCATGCCTTGCTGGCTGTCCCCTCCCACATCCTATCTACCTATCTTGTACTTCTTATCCTATCCACTCCCTCCTTCTTTTCTCCCATCCTTCCTCTGCCATACCACCTATTTCTTCCACCTATAGAAATCCTTCTCCCGGATCTATCAACAATTTCCCTCACACCCTCACTAGCATTCTTCAATTCAGAAAAAAAAAAATTATTTAACCTTGTGTTCACATCCACCAACCCACCAACCCACCAACATACATACACATCGACAATGGCAGAACCCCAAGCACGTCGGTACCTGACCCGTGCACGTGCAAAGGCAGAAGATCGTACGGTCGAGAATAAGATTCCATACCAATGGAAAGGTCAGACAGTAGCCGAAAAACGTAAAGCTTACGCCATTGCTGACATTGAAACCAACTCGTCGTTATCAGCGTCTACAGACAGTACTGCCCCACGAGCTACAAGAGCAACCAAGAGAGCAGCACCCTCAAGAGCAATTGAAAGTGCTGCCAGTACACTGGTAGCACCAAAGCGCAAAACCACTAAGAATGGCGCTGTTGCAAAGAAGTCTTCTATAGTTGCGCCCTCAAAACAGGTAAAGAAAGTCACTTTCAACGACGACAAAGAAAATCTCATACCCGCAACCCCGAGACGAGAGGAGCCCCCAGCTGAGCCGGAAAGAAATGCGGACGAGACAGACGAGCTTATGTCTTCGATGGGTGCGCTGTCGGTGAAGCCGCTCCGTGTTCCAGCGACTAAGCTGCGGCTTCCCACGACAAACATGAATATCAGCTCAGCGTTTGATCCTATGCCTGCATTGTCACCATCGAAGGCTCGCCGTCCTCTGCCAACTCCTAGGGGTGCTGATGATCCAGACATGGAAGACGAATTGTCCAGTCCTATTCCTAAACTTGCGGCTAAACCTATTCGTCCAATTGGCCTATCCTCGCCCGTCCGAGGACTTGGGCAGTCAGCAAAAAAGCCACTGGATTTAACCGCTTCACTGACTTCCCCTGCAAGACGGCCTCCAACCTCTCCTTTTAAGCTCACCACCGCGAATACCCCATTTTCCAAGTTGAATGGAGATGGGCCGAGATCAGAAATTACTTCACCAGCTAGGCGCCCGCCTCCTTCTACATTTACTGCTGCTGCAATTCAAACTAAAACTGGTCTCAAACTTGGTCCAAGTGTCACTTTGAAGATGGAAATTCCAGATTTATCAAGACCTGGTATCAAAAGCCCTGCCAAAAGGCCCAAGATACCAATCGTGTTCAAGGCAGATGAGTCGGAGGATGAGTTAGGGATGGATATGGAAGATTATAATCTTGGCCGATCACCAACGCGAATCCCCAAGAAGCGTGTACAGATTCACAGGACACCTGAAGATATTGCGGCCCAGAAAAATACAATCTTCGCAAAGGATGAGCCTACAACGGTGAAACCTGAGCGCAAAGAGATGGCCCGTTCATCCACGCCCCCGAGCCCAGTTCATGATGACATTCTCGGTGAAAAAACGGAGAATGACGATCTTGACGCAGAAGGAGATACCGAAATGGATGATGCAGACGAAAGCGAATTGATGGAACAAATCGCGCTTTCGCCAACAAAATATAAGAGCCCAACGCAAGGTGGCAGCAGTTATGGCTTTTTTAGTCTTCAAGATGATAGCGAGGAGGAGGACGAAGTGTCTCCAGCCCCTTTCACGGGAAATCCCTTTGCCAATATTAATCTCCAGCCTTCAGAAAGGAAAACCTTATTTCCCCACCCTCAGATCGCTACACCCAAGGAATGGGAAGCTCCGGTCTTTGAAGAATCAGATGCTTCGATTCCTATCGATCCATTCTTGTTAACTCTTGATGCGCCTGCTAACCCTGTGGGACCATTTGAGAGTCCATCAAGAACAATGAGAGTCCCAGTCAAGATGCACTCCATCGACGATGATCTATCTAGCGAAGACGAAGAAGACGAGAATGAAGATGGAGAGAACGTTATTTCGTCACAATCGTCTTCACAGAGCTCTACAAGAAGTAATGTCATCCGCCCGGCTGGCGTGCTTGCTGGCGCAGTTGTGTTTGTGGATGTGTACACAGCAAAAGGTGCAGATGCTAGCGCGGCCTTTGTGGAGACGCTACGCGGGCTCGGTGCGAAGGTTCTCAAGAGTTGGAACTGGAACCCCAATTCCAATGGCGCCCCTGGAGAGGGTGAGCGCAAAGTTGGGATCACGCACGTAGTATTCAAGGATGGAAGTCCTAGGACGCTGCAGAAGGTCAAGGAGAGCAAAGGTATTGTGCTCTGCGTCGGTGTTGCCTGGGTGACAGCTTGTGAGGATGAACAATCGTGGGTTGAGGAGAGCATTTACCCAGTAGACTTGGACCATGTTCCAAGGGGTGGTCACAGAGTAAGCAGCACTCATGTCTCAAGAAAGTAATACCGTTGCTAACGTAATCACAGCGTCGTAAATCTATGGAGCCCAAAGCTCTCTCGATGACCCCCGGAGGCTCTAGTTCGGACAGCGCAAACAACCTCACGTCTAAGACTCCTAAAGCCATGCCAAGAAAAATCGTCTTTCCTCAGACCGAGCTTCCACATAGAGTCGCGGACGAGACAAATCCGGTGCTGATGCACAACCTGTTGCTGGCGCGGAGAAAGAGCATGCAGTTTGCGCCCAAGATTGGGAGTCCGCTACGCAGGTTTACTCAAATTTCCATGGACTAAAGGAAACCGCGGCGGCCAAACGGAAACGGAACTGCTTATGTTTATGCCTCATTCGATAAATGACTTTGCTTTGTAAAGATATCTGCATCGCAAAACCCTTTTCTTTTACCCACAGACCTTATTGTAGAGAAGGAACGTGATAATCTCTCTCTTTGTATTTTTGTTTTATGGAGTCCTGTCTGCGTCTATTATTTTTTTGGTGGGGGTTTGGTTGTACTATGCAAATTTTATTTTTGAGTTTGTTCTTTTGGTATCCATACATGCAGTTCAGTTGGACTTGTACTTTGCTTTTCTCTGTATATAGTTTTTTCTTTCTTTTGTCGGAAAGAATAATAACAGGAGCAGGGGAATTGCAGAAATGCGTTCCCCACTGCCATCTCCCGCACGCTCAGAGTTTTCAAGCCCTCTGCCTGTAGGGGTAAGGGGTGTAGATGTCTGTGTTCCTGTTTTGGTACCGCCCTTCTTCTCTGCTCTCAGTATTGATGGACACGAATGGCCCTCACAGCATCTGATCTCCTGGTAGTTGGCTGTTCGCAAAAAAGTTTTGAATTTGGAGTTTTTCGTTTATTGGTTACGGAGCTGTGGTGCATCTTGCGGGTCATGGTTTTGGTAGGGGGTCGGTACTTGCTTCTAGCTGTAGCTTTGGATTTCTGGTTTGCTCTTGGCTTGTCTGCCGGCTTCGAATCCCATAAATTATGTATAGATTACAGAAGAGAATAGAACCTCAATTAGACCCTTTTACTTAGATATCTTATTTATACATTATATTACCGTCAACAGTGCCAAGGTAGGTCATAAAGCTTTTCCAATGAGAGTGCACACAACACGAACGGTGCACAGGTGGATAAGACGTCCAGTATTTGTGCCAATTCATCGGGGCGCAACCTTCCGATACTACTAGATATGCGACCGCCGCATTCTTTACAATGGGTCTACGGGTCTACGGGTCTACGGGTCTACGGGTCTACCGGTCTGTATCAGATCCCCATCGCTGGTAGTGCGGTGTATGTATTCGGAGTGAACCGGGTACGGATGGCTCGAGAGAGGCTTTCGCTGAGTAAAGACCCAAGCTGGTGGCCGAAAGACCGGGAGGGATTATCCTTGCTACTGGCGTTATCGTCGGATTGGGGGTGTCTACTCCCTGTATGCTTGAATATTCTCACTTCCTGTAGTTAATGGGGGCGGAGTTAGAAAGACGATCTATGGTGGTAGAATTAGAGAGATGGGAGTTATATAAATATTGCATTTTGTGTGGGGTTTATGGAGGGATTCATTTGAAGTTCTACCCCAACCCTTACTACAATATGTTGCCGCAATTATTTCAAACCCCATCATGAATCACTGCCTAAGTCACTTTGTAAAATGCAGTGATCCTATTTGTACACTAGAATGCTACAGGAGTCTAATTCTTTCTTTTGGCAGAGTATTGTCAGCTCTCGGTAATTAAATTCAAGAATACTGTTCTGCAGGTACGACCTTACATTGCATTCACAGCTGTCACTCGGCCGTCCAGGGTCCCCCCTGCGCCGAGTGACAGCCCATGACCAAACCGGCAGCCCGTCGGCTAGCCCTTGCAGCGCCACAGTGGCTACCGAAAACGTCATTACGCCACCCGCCGTGGGACCCTTCAAACTTTGAGCTTCTTAGAAATCAAAAAGGTCCCTAGATCCCTATTAAAGGCCCCTCGCCCCCATTTCCCACCATTTTCAAGAAAAAGTGCGAAAAGAGAACTTGTTAAAAAAAACACCTCTCAAAACAATGTCACGACCGCTCACCTCCGCAATGCGACTACTGCGCACCCTCCACACCCTCCCCCTCCGCCGCCCCACCCCCTCCGCCGCCGCCGCCGCCCCCGCATTCCTCCGCAGATCAATGTTCATCCAGACGGAAATCACGCCCAACGCCTCCGCCCTCAAGTTCATCCCCGGCACGCCCGTGCTGCCCGCAGGCTCATCGTCACTAGAGTATCTCGACGGGCGGGAGACCCACAACTCGCCGCTCGCGCGGAAGCTGTTTGCGGTGGACGGCGTGCGCGCCGTGTTCTACGGCCCGGACTTCATCACAATCACAAAGACCGAGGGCGCCAACTGGGCGTTTGTGAAGCCGGAGGTGTTTGCGCTGATTACGGAGGCGCTGGCGGGCGGCGGGAGCGTGGTGGTGGAGGGGACGAGCGGCGCGGTGGATACCTTGCCGCAGGAGGGGGATAGTGAGGTTGTGAGTATGGTGAAGGAGTTGTTGGATACCAGGATTAGGCCGTCGATTCAGGAGGGTGGGTTTTTGTGCCTTCTCTTTACTTTCTTTTTGCTGGCGCCTTGTTGTGGGTTGGGTGGGAAGTGCTAATGTGTGGTGTGGGTGTATGTAGACGGCGGCGATATCGAGTATCGAGGTTTCGAGAACGGAATGGTGAAGCTGAAGCTCCGCGGAGCTTGCAGGACCTGCGATTCGTCGACTGTGACGCTGAAGAACGGAATCGAGTCCATGCTGATGCACTATGTATGTACCTCCCCCCCCCCCTCCCTTCCCTTTGCCTTTCCCGGGTGTATAAAAAACATATATAATATAATCATTGAAACTAACACTCCCACCAGATCGAAGAAGTAAAAGGCGTCGAACAAGTCCTCGACGAGGAAGAAGAGATCGCGATCCGCGAATTCGAAAAGTTTGAGGAGAAGCTCAGGAAGGTTAAAGGCCCACCACAATCCGCTTCTGCTTAACTTCTGCGCGGCGCCGGGAACTAAAACGGGTGTGAGCGATGCGATACAGAAGCCGGATGCTGCGTTTACTTGGCAGCAGTGAGAGTGTCGGGAGAAGGCTGGCTGGCTGCGGAAAGAGAGAGAGGGAGAGAGCTTCGAGGGCGGAGCTGGTAATGTACATAACAACTACTAGAGCGTGGTCAGTTCAATCGGTCAGTCGTTTGTTGCTGTTGCTGTGACCGACAGGGGAGAAATGGATTGTGCGGAAGAGATATCATGATTTGCTTCTGGTTTGTATGTGCTTGTTCGTCGTTGTGTGGGCTCTGGAACACTGCCATTGCCCTTGAGCGTGTAACGTTGCTACATGTATGTGTACGTGTGATGAACCGACGGGAAAGAGATTGTGTCATGAAAGGTCACTCGGTGCGCTTCTCCTCTGATCCGGGTGGGCAGTTCTCGTTACCTGGTGAGAGTCAACAACATATGCACCCATCACCCTGCTTTCTTCTCACCTCCGGCTTGCGATGGGTTCTACATTAAAACACTCGATTTTTAGACTATCGCAAGGAACCCGAACCACCGCGGGATTGACTATCTACACCTGACGGACATGCGATAACTGAATTGCAAGGCTCCAATTTGCCCTTTTTTCTCTTTCTTTCTCCCCACTCAGCAAAATCCCACACGCGGAGAGAGGGCCACAAAAGCTAAATTAAGAAACAGAAAGAAAAAAAAAGAGAAGAAAGAAGATCAAATGCAAACTAGACACGGACGCCCAAAGAACACACATAAAATCTTCAGCTCAAGAGCCTGCAGAAATAATTCAAACTTTCGGAAGTAAGCATTCAGCCCGTGGAAGAGGTTGGTGAACGGCCTATGAATAGAAAAGGAGAGTTTTGAAGAACACGAGGAAACAAGAACAGGCATTAATGCATTACTAGTGAAGTAATAAAGATCAAAGTGAAATCGAACCTATCAACAAATGTACGTAAAACCAATGCATTGCCATCGAGATTGGACACACATAACAATAAAACCGTTCCGATTAAAACGAAAACAAACGAAATAACTCGACAAAGTAGATATCGACAAAGAATAATTGAAAGATTTTACGCCCTCCATGGCCAAGGAACAACGGTCCTAACCTAACCATATTCCAAGCGATATTGGTCAAGAAGGAAGGATCATGAGTTGTTCATCATATAGTGAGTGTTTCATGGCAATAGAGGAAGCTTTGAAACAATTTATTAACCCCAATCGATTCAATGTCACCGTTTGGCGTTTAGCCAGAATTATTAGTTCGAGGAAAGATCGGAATGGTCTCAAGATTTTCCCAGCCACCCATACTCCCAGTCTGCCCAGAAAAGTTTCCATTCATTTGAGCTTGCTGTTGCTGCTGCTGTTGCTGCACCATCATGGATTGTCTAAATGGGTTGGTACCACCCGTTGTCGAGGGAATCGATAATGCTGCAGAGGCGGCGGAAGAGCCGGTTGGGTTCGGACTAACAGCAAGATTACGGGCAAATGGGTTGGTACCGGTTGGCATCGAACGGACGGTGGGTTGCTGAGAAAGTGGCATGGACTGCTGAGACTGCGGATTGTACGACGATGTTGATTGCGTAGAAATGGGAAATGCAGGAGCTGAAGCAGTCAAACTGGTGGGCGATGTTTGAGATGCAGCCCTCGCAAAAGGGTTGGTGGATTTCTGAGTAGGGGGTGATGTAGCGTATGAACTAACAGATTGGTTTGAGGTAACAGAGCCAGTCATCATCATGGACTGGCGAAAGGGATTAGTGTCCGTTTGACCCGTATGACCCGTAGAGAGACTCAAGGTTGGGGAATGATTCTGAGGCGGAGTGAAGGTAGAGGTTTGCTGGGAAAATTGATGTGGAAGTGCCGGCATCGGGGGAGCAGAAACCGCGGTTTGATCCGATGGGGTGTAACCACCAAAACCGGCCCCTGTGAAGTTTGTTTGAACTTGTTGGGGAGAGCCGGCCTGCATCATTGGGGCCGGAACTTGTTGAGCTTGTGCGTAAGGGTTTTGGGCCTGGTACACCATAGGGTATGCTGCTCCTGTTTGAGAAGGAAATTGTTGCTGTGCCATAAAAGATGACTGCCCTGCCATAAAAGCTGCATCGGACTGCTGAGCATATTGATTTTGCATCTGGGATACATCCTGCTGATTTCCAAACATAGGAGTTTGTTCTGATTCAATGGACTCAAAAAAATCAATAAGATCTGGAGCAACAGCCCTGGGTGCTGTTGCATCTAACTCGGCTGTTGGTGTCTCCAACTCAGCTGCCCTAGGCGCCGCGGCAGCTGGGAAGCCTTGTGCATCAGTAGCCTTGGGCGGGGGCGGCGAGCTTGGTTTGACAGTCGCAGGAGTTGGTTTCCCAGTTCTCTTTGCTTCCTGGGTAGCGAGATAATTCCGTCTATTAGAATCGAATTCAGGGTCTTGTAGATATTCTTCCAATGAGGAAGTAAGACTTGTAGGAGCGTGTTTGAGATTGGGAATCTGAAGACGGGTAGCTGTTTCTACTGATCTTGCTTGCTGCAGATACTCTACAACATCTGCAGTTTGCTTGGTAAATGTCTTGTAAATCTCCAAACCACGCTCTGCATCAATGCGCGACATTTCAAAGTAGTGTTCTGTCGCAAGGCGGTTAAAACTCATTTTCTTAGTATTGAAAAGTGTTAGGGCACAAACCCAGGACATTTATAACGCCTTCGTTCACAACGTGGAACAAAACCAGGAGATCCATAACTAGCAATCTGAAAGCTAGCAAAGAAATCTCATTGTCAACATCTGTTTCCAGGAACTAATGTGTAGTGTTAGTGGAACCGTCTTGATAGCTAGTGCAGACATAAGAGAGGTAACCCTACTGTGCATTTCAACAACGCCTTAATCTGCGCCTGGACGCACTCAACCTCCCGCAAAAGCCCCTTTTCAATACTTAGCTTTCTTAATCTGCCCTCACCACTCCTCACATAGTCTGTTTTGACGTCTCCATAAGTCCTTGCCCTCTCGAGTAAATATTGAGAGTAATGCCTGATATTTCTCCCTTGTTCCTGAGCTGTATGGAATCGATTTTAATTAGAATGGTCAAGTTGCTATATGGGGTAAAGAAGCTAGCAAATCAGGGAAGAAAAAAGGAGTGAGCGTATGAATACCATCAGAGTAATGGCTAACTGTGATAAGCCGTGGGTGTTTTCGTAAATATCTGAGCGTTACCTCCCGCTCTCCCTCACGTATCATTAAATGGACAATGATGAGAGACTTGAAGACAATCTGATATTACCGGAAATTTTCGTTAGCTGTAGTTTTAAATAAGTTTAGGTATAACCAACCGTCCATGTTTGATCCTTGACCCGGTTATTTAGCGCCCGGAAAACCTCCGCAATACCAGCTTCGCCCGCATGAGTCGCGACAAGAATGTGCTCGACATATTTGGATTTCGGGGCCGCAAGTTTAACCTTGGTTGCTCCCTATCAAGCAGTCAATATGATAGCACTTCTGATTTCTCTAATTATTCAACCATCCCGCAATTCATATCTTTGCCAGAGAATGCTTCGCACAACTGGAGGAGCAGACATGCCTTCACCGACTTCTCAAAGGAGGTAGCCATCTTTCCGCTCCCAAAATCTTCGACGTCCTTGCGTCGCCGTCCCCGATAGTATATTCTCCACACTTTGCTGATTCTTCGGCGAAACTCGCAACGACTCGGTCCTTGATTGCCGGTGTTGCTGAACCCTCCAGCGAGTCTTACACACAGAGGTATACTTGTCTATGGTTTCTTGTTGTCTCCGTTGATGAGTTTCCGACGAGGCTTGCGTTGAGAAATCTAACAGTAGTTGTTGAGTAGGTGGATTGAATGCAATCACTTATCAAGCTGTAATGTGAAAGAGTATGTACTTCTAGCTTTTGAGCTCCGAGGATTTGTAGATGGGAAGCACTGATGTGGCAGATCCCAGTTCGCGGAACACCGGCTGCTGTCGGTTTCCGCAAACCTCTTGGAACCTCCGGTATAGTCGCCCTATGGGTAGTCGGTTGATTGTGACAGAGAATAAGGTTGACAACGAGTGCGCAAAGATTGTATTTGTTATTGAGGAGGGTACAACCAAGCCGGAGCACAACTCGAGGTTACGGTAGGGGTTTGGCTGTTGCTGGGCACTCGGTTTATGTCACTAACTTCACAGCGCAATAGGGAGGTTGCCAAACAAATGGTAAGATTGGGTTAAACCACAGGATCAATTATTTAGAGGTAAGCGATAGGGAGGGTGTAATTATTGATATGGAGGACCACTTTCGGGGGGGGAGGGGAGAGGGGGGGTTGAGTGGTTGAGGAGGGGGGCTCTGCTACTGCAGGGTTAGAAGGAGGAGGTTGAGGCGGGATAGATGCTGCGTTGGCTTAGGGAGCTTTTGGAGGTTGATCCGGAGTGGTTCGTTGGCCGTTGGCCGTTGAACCATGCACGGGGTGTGGCGGTACCACAGCCTCCTGCATCTGGTTTTCTAGTAACTGGACAAAAGGATGAGCAGTGACATTATGACGGTGTGGCAGTACTCCTGTTGAACTCTTTTCAGAGTCCACAACGAGTGGAAAACCAAAGTAGTTGTGTTAATATGCACAAACCACTGAGAGTCAGGTCGATACTGGAGCTTCCGTATCGACCTGTGTTTCTTAACTGCTTTTTATTCTATCGCAACAGATATACTGAGTCAAAGGATGTTCTCGCCTAGGACTCCACCAAGTCTGCGAAGTGATAAAGGGCATTCAAGATTCCCTCATCAGAAAATTCAAGGCAAAAAAACAAGTTTTGATGGTCACAGGAAAGCAAAGAGTGAAAATGATATAGAAATACATTGTAATTCTACTGACTATAATTACATTTATTAGGAAAGAAACAAATATTACAATTAGACCTTCCAAGATCTGGTTCAGAGATGCCATTGAAGCGTCCGATCTTGTAACAAGGAGGGTGTGCTCGAACGCCTATTTCATGGTTAACCCGAAATTCTTCTTAGAGGACCCTTAAGCCAACCTGTCGGTAAAGAGCAGGCGGAGTGTACCCCCGGGAAGAATTGGGAAACCGATTCATAGACTGCACGCTAGGCTTTCATCATCTGTAGAATATCTATTAGCATAGGGCGTAAAGAGTCTATTGGAAGGTGGGTGTCTTACATTTTGAACTTGGAAGGATATGGAGAAAAGATGTGATGAAGAGGCTCACGAATAGATTAAATATCTCTGAGATTTAATAGCTTACCCGGACGCGGGGCACCAGCGGCAAATTTGCGGGGCCAAGAACTGGGAAAAAAGTAACGGAGTATGTGAGGTTAGGGTTGGTGGCATAACATTATATCACTGTGCGTGAAAGATCTTTAAAGCACCCAGTCTGTCACTTAAAAGATTGGACGACAAATATGTCAATGCAAGCTTCGCTATCACGAATCTGCCTCCGCTGCCGCATACGAATCTTTCCTTCTGGATTTGGTCAATCAATCCCAATTCCACATAGTGGTTACCTGTTACGGCACTCAAGCTCTACTTATATAGGGAGGCCTTCGGCTCGTGGTTTTGCTGTTTCATTGCAATCAAGGGCCTCTTCCACTGAGGGACCAGGCTCTCGGAAAACTGCAGAAGATGAAGACATACAGAGGCAATCGCCGAATGAGAAAAAAACTGAACCGGACGCCAATGTCACGAATCCTGAGGGAACTCAACGGAGTCATCCTCTTGTTATGACCGACACAATAGCCAATTTAGACGCGGAATCTTTCGTATCAGCTGCGAAAGCTCGACTAAAAAAAGCTGCTGAAGCAGATCCTTTTGATCCTTTGCTTTCGAAACAGGCAGACGAAGAGTTTTTGAAAAGTTATAGGTCCTTGCTTTCAGATACGAGAAGAGATATCCAGAGAGAAATAAATGATTCCGAGGAGATGTCAGAAAATTTTCAAGAATCTATAAGGACACCAGAGGGATTAAAGCGTAAAGCAATATTTTGGGGGAAGCCTGCAACGGTACGTACAATCACAATCACGCCTCACGATCAAACATCTGCTTTGCTCTTATTCTCATGATCATTGGTTAAGCAGGACGCAAACAATTCTTGGCCTACCGAGCTCCCATCTACACTCAAGGGTGTAGCTTCGAAGTGTGACTTGGCCCTTTCTTAAAGTTGTTAAATCCTGCGATCCATGAGGCTAACACCTCTACTAGTTAATTTTCCTCCAGCGACTCACCGGGTAAAAGATCTTTCACATCGTGACGCCGAAGAGGTAGTGACAATGCACGGATTTCTCACTCCCTGCAGGATAATGAACAAGAAGCTCACATTTGCAAACTTCTTCGACTTTCATTCTGGTCCTAAATTCCAAGTCCAAATCGTTTCCAACACGTTTGAAGATCCTACAGAAGACCAAATCAAGGCGCAAGAGACCTTACTATCAGTAGCTCCTTTCACACCAGTTTCCCTAACTGGTAAAGTTTTCAGGAGAGAGTCTACCAGGAGAAACAAGGAGGAATTTGAATCTAAAGCAACATCCCCTAAGACTCTTGTCAAGCGTGAATTCTCATCACGGTATCCCTCAGAGCGCGCCGTAGGGAAAGCCCCGACATTCCTAGAAATTCACCTTCAATCCCTCCAAAAGCTCAATTCGGTTACAGAGGGTTTGGTGTATACCCCGGATACTGTTTTCCCACCAGAACAACGGCATCTCCAGCTACGAACAAAGCATTCTCTATATTCGGCACTTCGTCTCCGAGCTAAAGTTGCCTCAATATGCAGGTACCACCTTGAAAGAAACGATTTCCTAGAAGTTGAAACACCTCTTCTATTTAAATCCACCCCTGAGGGTGCTCGTGAATTTCTCGTTCCAACCCGAAGCAAAGAGAACGGAGGAGGGATGTGTTATGCCCTGCCACAATCACCCCAACAATACAAGCAAATCTTAATGGCAAGTGGCGTGGCTCGCTATTTTCAGCTGGCCAAGTGCTTCAGGGACGAAGATTTGCGGGCAGATAGGCAGCCAGAATTTACCCAGTTAGATTTGGAAATGTCGTTTGCAACTGGGGAAGATGTCATGAGTGTCATCGAGGAGCTTATCAACAATATTTGGTTTGAAACGCTAGGTATCGATCTAGGTGGAGGGTTTCAGAGAATGACATGGTGGTATGCAATGAAGTTCTACGGGAGTGATAAACCTGATCTGAGGTTTCCTAAGACGAAGGTGAGATTTTTTGTGAAGACATTTGACTGAAGGATGATGTTAATCAGTTTATAGATCAACGAGATTACCAGCATTCTTCCACATATGGTTAAAAACAAGGATGAACACATTGAAGTCATTTGCCTCCATACTGATCGGCATTCTGACCTAGAGCAAATTGAAAAACTCCGTTCGTCGTTTGAAGAGACTCATAAAGGCAAGGGTGATGATCATTTCTTATCATATGTGGTCGGTCATCCTTCGGCGCATCTTCACCCAGATTTAGTAGCAGCCAAAATCGACGAAGAAAAGATAGTGGAAATCAACAGAGAGATTTGGGCAACTCCTGGTTGTATCGTATTGATCAAGCTTAGAAAGGGCGATTGGTCGGTAAGTAATTATGTGCAGCTGTGTTATTTGAAAAATGGAAAAGCTGCTAATGGTGAAATCCAGGGTGGGAGCACTAAATTGGGTCTTCTTCGGACCGCCTTGCTTGCTGGAGCTCAACGCGAGAGCCTTATAAAAACCCCCGAACGCCCCGAATTCGTTTGGATAATAGACTTCCCGCTTTTTTCTCCCAGTTCAGATTCGGAACCCGGCCAAAGTGGTACTGCCGGGCTTTCGTCGACCCACCATCCCTTCACAGCGCCAAATCCAAAGGATTTGGCGATGCTTGCTTCCGCGCCAGCGAAAGTCAGAGGAGAACACTACGACATTGTGGTAAATGGCGTTGAACTTGGAGGTGGCAGCCGCAGAATTCACGATGCGGAACTCCAGAAATATGTGCTGGAGAGTGTGCTTAAAGTTGACCCCTCACGTATTCATCAGTTTGACCATCTATTGAAGGTCTTAGACAGCGGCTGTCCCCCACATGCAGGAATTGCATTGGGATTTGACAGACTCATAGCTGTCCTTCAAGGAACGGACTCCGTTAGAGATGTTATCGCTTTCCCGAAGAGCGCTAAAGGCGCCGATCTTCTTGTGGGTAGTCCGAGCTTGGTCAGCGACAAAGATCTGGAGACGTACCACCTGAAGAAAAGAACGAACGGACAGATAGGACAGGATGAACAGGAATTATTGATGTAAATTTACTAAGAAAAAGAGCAAGTGCGGACGGGCATCATAAGCCTCCAGAACCCACTGCAACTTGAATCCAACGTCCCCTCACCTAATTGCTAGCCGTCACCGATTTGAACTGTTAAAGCGGCTTCAGCCAATGAAGTATTTATGTAACCGGGACCTTTCCTTGCGGAGAAGCTCATCAAGCACCAGGCATATGATTTGTTGACCGGCACTGGAGAAGGCGAGAACTGTGGGAACACGTTTGAGAAAACTCCGCAGGCCGTACACAGTAGTTATCACCAGAATTTTGTACTGCAACTCCTTCAATTCTGGCGATAACTCTTTCTCAAATATCGCTTCGATATTCTGAAACTCAAGTACCAGGAATTCACGCACAAATACGCACCTACACACGCAGGCTTACATTCATGTCGGCAATGATACTTCAGTAAGGGCCTTGTTTATGCATTCGTCTGTACTTTGGAACCCTCACTGATACTGGCATGCATTTTACTTAAGATCCATAGTCAGCCAGCAAAGAGCTGCTAGCAGCTTCCATACGCACCTGAATTGACATCAATAATTCTTCTGCTATCTTTTATAATGTTTCTCACTCTTGCCCACTTTATAAGAATTAACTAGAAGGTGATCTTGGGGTATTGTGGATCTGGTGCGTCCAATAACCGGTCCTCCCCGTTTCCAAAAATAAACTTTTTAAACGCATATGTATGCCCTTTGAATTTCTATCGCTCGACAAACATATGCTATCCAAGAGCGATACTGTGACTAGCGGTAGAATATAAGGACGATCAATCAATTTGACGAGAGCAGGAAAAGCTCGTTTACATCCACGTATGTTTTCCAGGGAGAATTTCCAAGAAGCGCCCTTTGTCCTTTTGGTAGCGGGGTATACGCCCACAGTAAAGTAAATCTGTCTCGTGCTCAGACCTGTTTTGATTAGAAAGAGTAAATCCACAATTTAAAGCCGAAACAAGAGGTCTGACTAGAGCAGACAGACTCCCCGAGCACTATGTGTTTTTATCGAGTAAATCCACACTTACGGTGAACCGAACGTACTCAGTCAGCACCTCGATAATTTGTATGTACCTGGTACCTAAATACTTGTTGGTTTACATAGGTGCTTATGAGCTGGAGAAATCAAAGAGTAAGCCGGAGAAAAACATCTAACTTTATAAGCTCGTAGAAACTAACAATTGGTTATCGCTGGCATGGAATTCGGGAGCAACCGTATTTCATGGTCTATCACTCGATAGAAAGTAATTCTTTTCCTTGAACTCTGATTGGTCGAAGGCTGAAACCCTGACCCTGCATAATACCACAAATTCACAAAATCTTAAGGGTCATTGGGGGGGCCTCAGGCAAGGAAACAAATAACCCTCTGCAAAATTGATTGTAAACGAGAGAGCCCAAGGCCAAATTGTGGCCAAGTTTCACTTATTCTGATTCCACTTCTACTTAACCGGGATTAGAAGATTGCTTGGCTCCAGGCATCGAGTGATATTAAATGAAGGAAATCCCTGAACAAGTATTATAAGTGTTTACTGTCGTGATACAACCGGGACAAAACAGAACCATGTAAAACAGAAACTCCATCTACTTTGAGGACACATCGCTTTTAGTGCAAGCGCTTGTAGATTGGATTGACGTCAAATATAAATTGATGCTAGGCCTGCTCTAGTCATACGGGCCTTTTCCGCCTTAGAGGTTACGACTAGATGTCCTTTATGAATTTTTGCTAAGGAATTTTCACCTGGGTGCTTTCGACTGGCCGTTCAAGCACAAACAAATATGTGCGAGAGCACCTGTACGAAAAGTGCCACAATATGTTTTTTTACGTTTATGTCTTTCGGGGCTTTTGACGACTAATAAGTTTAACTATAAGAATGGGGGGCAAAAAGGTCCCTACTAGAGCGCCCGTATTGTATGAACGAATGTCTCAAGTAATATTCGAAATCGAAGACCAATTATAAATATTTAATCATGTATCCATGGGTGCCGGAAAGGGATGCAATGGAGCGCGTCCGCCCTCACGAGACAACAAAATTTGACCTCAATGAAGCAGCAACCAATAGTAAATTAGATTAAACTGATACTTTGTATTTCCTCCCTCTGCCTCTATTACAGCTCATAATCTTCTAGGCATACTCTCAATCAGTGCCCTCATTATTTCCTTCCAAATATCATTCAGTGTAACGGAGCCTCTTCAACTGTCTGGTGTATGAATACATACAGGGCCAGGTTACATGCTGAGACTTATTATTAGAATCCAGTTTCACAGTGATATGCAAGTACCAGCAGTGTGGTTAGCTACCAGCTGTTAGAGTAACTACATTCTGTATGCTAGCAAGGGGATCTATTCATGGGAGCAATGACTGACGAGTCTATGCCTCACCAGTGACTAGAAGGCTGGCCAGAGGGAAGCTCTGATTGCCCGGTGATCCTCTGTATCCTCTGAGCATTCGAGGTCCGCCGGTAGTGACAGGGACTATACCAGGGAAGTGTAACGGACCCATTTCAACTGTGTTGTGAGGGATGCGTACCAGACCACAAGAGTACACTACGCGGAGCTCAGAGTTCGGCTAACAGCTACAAAGGTAGAAGTCTCCAAGGTCTCTTCAGTCAATGTCGAGTATGAATCTCCTTGATCCGATACGGGCCCCGCGAGCTACATTATCAACAAAGATTCACTAGAGTTAGTGTTACGGGCATGCCAAGCATTTACGGGAGTGAGAGAAAGGCTAGCAGATACCCCAATACCTTCTGTACGCTAATGTCAACTCCGGTTCGCACCCACGAGGTGCGGTGCGATCGATATGCGACCAAATGCGGAGTTGCGGTTTTCCTAGTTAAAAAATACGTTTTCGACACCAATAATAACCCCCGGAGCGTCAAACCGCCGGAGGGGAGTGTTTTGGTACCGGTGGATATATGAGGGACAGCTGGAATCAATCGGATCGAAGATCGGACCGCTCGGAGTGAATCGGCGCAAGCTGCCAGCCGACCGAGTACCTATCGGCGGTACCTGTGGGCATGAGAGGACTCTGCTATATGGGAAAGCGATGTGGGAAGAGGCCTGAGTAGGTAGCCTTGCCGTCCGAGACCTCCGAATAACCGATGCTGACGATTATCCACCAGACGGCCGATGGAGAAGAAACATCGACAGGGAAACGTGCATTAGAGTATATAAATAGGTTGAGGGGTTTCAGCGGCTTTAGGAGTTTGGGTTACGGACTTAGGAGTTAAATGTTCTTGGTTGTTTTTCAGGGTCTCGGGCATGCCCCGAGTGTATTTTGTATTATTAGTAGACTGGGTCCTCGAGACATAAGCGAGGGATATAAATACTGTGTCATTCACTGACTAGCCAAACCATCATCGGCGAAATCAGAGTCTTAACAATATAAATCGTTGATACGCGAGTTACAACTTTATTTGACTATACCTTTGGAATTACTTTAGTCTATCGTGACTTCGAACTCTACCTGAACTATTACGTCGAAGACGGTCGAATACTATACGCTAACTCTAGTGAATCTTTGTTGATAACGTAGCTCGCGGGGCCCGTATCTGATCAAGGAGAATCATACTCGACGTTGACTGAAGAGACCTTGGAGACTTCTACCTTTGTAGCTGTTAGCCGAACTCTGAGCTCTGCGTAGTGTACTCTTGTGGTCTGGTACGCATCCCTCACGGTATATTGTTACTCACAAGTTCACTTGGAGTAACGAAGTCACCTCAAAGAAGAACTATCATCATTATCCCCTATCACAATGGCTACCCGAAGGGATTATTTCATAGACACCTCGGCCGTAACAGACGAGGCCGCAGAAGACGCTATGGTACTATCTGGGGCTGTTAGCCCTGATCCCCTACTCCAGGGAGGACCCTCTACACAAACTAGGTCAACGAGTAAACGCTCTGCTCAAGCCCAGTTTACGAGGTCCATGCAGGAGTTTCTGGATACCCATGAGGCACAAATGAGGTATCTTGGTACAGCTGGACAGGCCGTTTGGCAGCAGCTACAAAACCTCCAGGAACAAGTGCAAGGGAGTGGGCAGATCCTGGACAAGAAAGTACGGCAAGAAGCCATCGCCCAGAAGCAATATCTCGAATCGCTCTTTGAGCTCGTCGAAAATGTTCGACAAGTACAGGAAGCCGCACGAGCCGCCGACCACGAGGTTCTGGATCGTAACCATCGAATTACCCAGAACCAACTGTTGGAGGCGGAACGACAGCTGAGAGTTGCAAGAGAAGAGCGAGAGCAGGAAAAAAGGGAACAGCGGGAACTGTTGGCACAATTTAAGCAGTCTGATGACGTAAGAAACCAACGAATAGCCGAAATGGAGGAACGACTACGACAACATATGTCGGTAGCACCCTCCATGGTTAGTGTTCCCTTAATCCTAATGCCCCTCAAGCGGTTCCTGTTGGCAATGGCAAGAAACCTGAAAATGCTGGCCCAGTAGGAGGAAACGCTGGTCCAGTAGGAGGAAATGGAGGCAGGCAACCGGAGGATGCCGGCCCAGTGCAGGGCAATAGTGGCAGAGGACCGGTGGGAGCTGCTCCAGTCGGCGGGAATGGTGGAAATCAACCCCCACAAAACCCACCAAGGGGAAACTTTGGGGGAGACCCAGAACCCTCCGACGACGATGACGACGATAACAGTGAATGGTCGCACGGTCGGAAGAATTGGAGAATGAACCGAGGCGGAAACCGGAATTCGGCGCCGCCTGAAGACGACGATATGGTAGATTCGCTCGCCAAAATACCCTTTGAGTTCGATAATGCCAGAAAGCATAACCTGCGGCATTGGCTCATGGAGTGCGAGATCTACTTCGAGCAGAAGCCCAAGAAGTTCCGAACGGACAGGAACAAAGTACTGTTCGCTGGGACGTATACGTGTGGGTTGGCAAAGGAATGGTTTATGGAATATATCGAGACCAAGATGCTAGGACCGGCAGCAGTGGACTACGCTACTTGGACTCGTTTCCGTCAGGATATCAGGAAACGCTTCTTAAGGACTCAGGAGGCTATGGAGAATGCGATGAAGATGCAGCAGTTTAAGTACTCTGCTAACATCGGAGACTACCTGACGAGAATGGAGATCATGAATCAGCATGCTCAGATGAAAGGAGCATCCTATCACGCCGCCCTGCTCCAAGGGCTACCAAATGAAATCCGAGAATGCCACTCACGCTTCGATCCAACCGATGACGACTCCGAGTACATCCAACAGTTGGAACGAGCCGGCAAGGCTCATGAGGCTTATCAAGAGCAGATGAAGATGTTGGGGAAAGCGGAGTCGAGAGGAAGGGAGTCGAACAATGGCGGGAACTCGCGGCAGAAGGAGAAGGGGTTTAAGATCAAGGGTAGGGCTCAGACTGAGGAGAAAGAAAAAGGGCAAGATAAGAAGAGCACCAGCAAGAACAAGTCGGGGAATAAGCCAATATACCACGACTACGATGAAGCCACCAAAGGAGTCCACAGCCGGTCCGAGATCAGCGAAAGACCGATGGCGTCTGTGTGCGATGTGGCCGGAAGGGTCATCTTTGGAAATGGTGTCGTTCGGATGCTAACAGTAGTGCATCTATCTCCTCTTTCTCCCGAAAGCGTACCCGCGATGACGATGGCGACCACGATATGGAACCACCGGAACCCCAACCTCAGAGAAAGCGTATGAGGCACCGTGCTAGGAAGCCGGCCGCTACCGCTGCGGCAGAATACTCCACTGGGCAAGCATTTGTGCGAGAACACGGATCGGAATCTGAGATGGATTTTGATATGGGTTTTTAGAAGGGGACTCTGATGAGTCAGGTCAGGAGTATCCCCAGATTGCTATGTTGTCACTGATGGAAAACAACAAAAAAAATATGAAAAGAAAAAGGCAGGAAGGGAGAGCATCCCAACCGGAGAAAAAACAGAAGTTTTTGGAGGAACCTGTGAGGGATGCGTACCCGACCACAAGAGTACACTACGCAGAGCTCAGAGTTCGGCTAACAGCTACAAAGGTAGAAGTCTCCAAGGTCTCTTCAGTCAACGTCGAGTATGAATCTCCTTGTGTAATGGAGCCATTTCAACTGTCTGGTGTATGAGTACACACAGGGCCCGGTTACATGCTGAGAGTTATTGTTAGAAGCCAGTTGCACGGTGATATGCAAGTACCGGCAGTGTGGTTAGCTACCAGCTGTTAGAGTAACTACATTCCGGGCACTAGGAAGAGGATCTATTCATGGGAGCAATGACTGACGAGTCTATGCCTCGCCAGTGACTAGAAGACCGGCCAGAGTGAAGCTCTGATTGCCCGGTGATCCACTGCATCCTCTGAGCATTGTAAGTCCGCCGAAGGGCAGGGACTATGCTAGGGAAGTCTACAATAAGCGAAAGCTCTACAGCAATGATTGAGCTTACACCTGAGCGGCAGCTCATTCATGCAGGTCCTCGGTTGTGTGGCAACCAAGGCTGCAGGTGTTACAAAGGCTTTGACTAAGGGTGGTTGCCTTGGGTATCGGAAACACCTGCTGACGCTTAGAGAAAAGCGGGGTAGCGGTGGTATTGTTTCCGGTACTGAGGGAAGGCCCACCGGAACTTAGTAAAGGAGTTAGGAGCAGAGAACAGAGGCCTTCGGAGTATAAGTACTCAGGTTCATTCTCGCCCTTCAGTCCTGTTCTCTCCAGTCTTCATCAGAAAGAAAACCAAGTTCTTATCGGTAGCAGAGCCCTTAAAAGATTAATGAGTTCTAGCGATAGTATCTTTGAATAATCTGCAACCTGATTGTCTATCTTGCACGGCCGTCTCTATTCTATCCGATTCTATTTCTCTTAGAAGAGACCCCCGTTACAGATAATCTTTTAGGCTCAAGTCACCTTCAGATTATTCTTCCTCTATACAAAATGTCCGCCCTCCCGGCTCCAGATGCACCCCTTCAGATTGAATGGCAGCCGGTGCCCCTCCAGCTTGATGCCACCGGGCAGACACAGCTTGTCAAGAAGCCCAGGACCGCTCTACAGACCTACATTCCCGGCTGTGAGCCTGCCTGGCAGGATACCGACGAGATTTCCGTCCAACAGTTCTTCACAGAGCTCCAGACCTACCTCCAGCACAGCCTGCAGAATCAGTTGACCCGGGGCAGTCAGGCACTACTCCTTGTACAAGAGCGCCAGGCAGCACAGAATGCTCTGATGGTAGAGGCTCTTGAGTACATGAGGCATGAAGTCAACTCTGTACAGGAAGAACTCTGAAAGTATGCGGAGAGAGATGAACTGGGAGCCGATGCCATGGAGATTGAGTGGACAAACCCGGCAACTACACCAGACTTTGTTGCCGAAATACAGAAAGCCCTTGATGAAGGAAGGCTAGTGGTAGGGAGACCAGCAACTCCGGCACCAAATCCAGGCTCCAGGTCCTCGTCCAGGGCAGCCACCAGGACAATGCAGCGGAAGACCAGTCCCTTCGCAGCATTTCCGGTCAGATCCACTAGGAGAGTTGTTCCTATTGTCCAGCCAGCGGTGGGAGCATCTCCCTTACCTCCTAGCTGCTTTGCAGGAGTAAACCCATTCCTTGGATTAGCCGACCGATCCTTTGATTTTGAGGGAGAACACTACCCAGGTGCAGGCCGAGGACCTCCCAGTCCACTAGCCAGGAATCCGGGAAGGTTCACTATGTCTGGAGCCGCTCAACCAGCAGCAACCTCACCACTGGCCAGCAACCTGACACCGGTAGCACCTGTGGCCCCTCCTGCTGCGGCCGCCGCTCCCCCTCCAGCAAATGTACAGGGTGGAAGCGGTGGGAACCAGAATCCTCCACCTCCTGCGGCCGGCGCTCCTGCTCCTGGAGACTCAGACAGTTCTGACAGTTCAGACTCGGAACCAGAAGGTGGTGATAGAAGAGGGTGGCGGAAATACCTTAAGAAGAAGTTGGAGAAGCAACAAAAGGATTTGTTTGCTATGATGTCCCAGCAGTATCAACCTCCGGCCACCTCTCACCCTTCTACCTCCACCAGAGCTCGAGAACCAAAGGCACCACCACCCTCCAAGTTTCAGGGCAAGGCGGAGCAAGTGGAGACCTTCATCCGACAATGTGAGAATGTGTTCTCCATTGAGAGCCTGTCCTTTACCTCTGAGGAGGTTAAGATTCGATATGCAGGCAACCTGATGGAAGGAGAGGCAGCGATCCGATGGTATGAGGCATACCACAACTCAATTGATCAAGCCTCCGCCAACCGCCTTGCTGGAATGCCGGTGACATTGGATCTGAGATGGAAGCGCTGGGATTCCTTTGTGGATGCTTTTAGAGCTGCCTTCGGTGAAGCCATCTCTAGAGATGATGCTGTAGCCCAATGGAATACCCTCACCCACACAGCTCGAGGAGGAATAGACCTCTTCCTGAATACTATCATTCAGCTGATGTGGAAGACTGGCTATGAGGGTCAGTTGGTGGATGATAAGATTCATAATTCCCTCCTCCCGGACCTGGGTATGAGTTGGGCTCTTTTCAATCCCAAGCCAAAGTCCTTGATGGAGCGGATAGCTGCTCTAAGAGAGTTAGAGCACACCCATGAGAGGTACCAAGGGATGGCAGCTGAGAAAGCGCACCCTCGGACCAAGAAAGATCCTCCCGCTCAGAAGGACCAGCAGCCCAAGAGGAAAAGAGAAGCTGCGAGCTCCTCCGGACCTCAGAAGACTCCTGGACCTAAAGACAAAGCGGTGGAACTGAAGGGTATCCCGGGGGATATTCTAGAAGAAAGAAGGAAAGCAGAAGTATGCTTGAAGGTATGACCTTTCAGTACTCCCTATTGGTAGAGTGCATAGACTGACTTGTGCAATAGTGCGGCAAGTCCAGACACAAATGGACCGATTGTTGGTCAAAGGAACCTACTGTTGTCCGAGTGGCAGCAGTGAGAGTACAAAAGCGGAAAAGAGGGAATGGCAAGTCCAGCTCTCAGAAGAAGGCTAAAGTGGCTGCTGTAGTAGCAGAGGATCCACTTGTTGTACTCCCGGAGGTTACAGAAGATTTTGTTTTGCAGCCTGAGCAAGACTCGGACAATGAAATCCTCTGGTAGAAAAGTGTCTGTCTGAGTCTATGTTTACTAGTTTTCTTTTTTATGGGTTTTTGGTTTCTATGTTTCTCTTGAATAAATTATGATTGTGTTTCCGCCTATTTGATTGCTCCAAGCACTCTGAGGATGGGTTTAAGACCCGAAACAGCTGGTCTGTCAGTGCTCTACCAAAGTTATATTTGCTACCAAGACACTTCCAAACCGCTGCCAAAAGACTACTACACAATACATCTGCTATATTATCGCTTGGGAATAGAACCAAAGGATCTTTTCGATCTTAGTAGTGCCCGAAGCTATTAGCTATGTTGAAAAGACAAAGAGAAACGAGTCCAGA